AGGACACGTGTCTGTGGCAGAGGGGTGAGTGACAGCTGCGTTGACCCTGCTGTTCCATAATGCTACTGGTCCAGCTGCCAGAAGTGAGTTTGGATCCTGGCTATGAAGAACCCTGCGGTCCTGATCTGGCTGGGGCAGGGGGAAGAACAGGCAAGGGAGTTTGACACCCCTGATCTAAGTGTTTTGGTACAATTCTTCTAAATTGTATGACTTGAGAGAACATGGTTGCTAAAGAAATTAAATGATATTCAGGAATGTAAGTGTGAGACAACAAATTGGTGTTTGTGCTTGTCTTCCAGTGCTTTCAGAATAAGAAGATGCAAACTGCACCTGGCGAGTGAGAGGAAGAAGTCTGTTTGCAGCAGTTGGATAACCAACAGAAAAGGACATGTCTTTGAGGCAGAGGCCAATACCACCTAGTACAAACTTGTATTTAAAATAATAGCTCAAAGTAGGTTACACTGTTTGCAAGCTTACAGGATCAAACAGCCGCTTGTTTGCTTGCTAACAGTCGGGAAGGGGGAGGCACTTCTGCATATGTATGTGTTCTCTCTCTCTCTCGGGTCCCTGCATCTCCCTGAAATTCATGAGTTTGAGCTACCCCTTTTAGATGATGCATTTTGAATACCGTAAGCATCTCTCCAAGGGGAATAGTACTACTGAATGTGCTTATTACACAGCATATTGAAAAGGTACTTACAACTAACTTAAGTTCAGAGAACAGGAAGGTGCTTATTTGTAAACGCCTGCATATTTACGTAGCAATGTGCCGGTAATATGTTTTCTGATGCCATTCTGAAGCCCCTGCGATGAACACACAGGAGTTGTTGGGGGTGGAAAAGTGAAGTTTCCAATTACTATTGCTTTTCCCCCTACATCATAACCAGTGTGTAATGGTGCTAGAAAAACTCTGAGACTCTGAACACCAAGAGAAATCAGTCAGCCTGTATACCCATCAGAGTTTCCTCCTGTAGCGAACAGCCATGTATTAGTTGAGGAAGACCATGCTGTACTGGTAGATGCTGCTTCTGGACAATGCTTGTATGCGACAGAATTTGAAGAGGCATGGTGGGTTTGAAGGAACAAGCCTAATTTTAAAATTCATTTTCAGTGATTTAGAAAGATTGGCCTTATTTTACTAGAGTCCGTTTGAAATGGGCAATATTTAAAATCCCATGATTAAATGGGATGTACATGAAGATATTTTTGAAAGAAGATAGCTTTATATAAGAATACCACCGACAAAAATAGTGTCATAATGTTGTACCCAAAAATGTATGTAGCAGTGGGTTGTGGAGAAGAAGTCGGCATAATACAAGTTAATTAAATATGTATGTTTTCAGGAATTTGTCAGACTGATCCATAAAAAAACTCCAGTGTGAATTAAATTCTATTGGGAGCAGCTGTGCGAGTGCATGAGCAAAGTAAAAACAAGCAGCTGATTCCTTCCTCTCTTCCTTTCCACCTCCCCCTTTTATGGTAGACATGTAGCAGCTAAAGCAATCACCTTGTTTGTCAGACTTGAGAAGAATGTTCCACTGCTGTATCACCCTCTTGCCCTACCTTGTCATTTACTGTTAATGATGCCTTAACTGAAGCTGTTAACGCATCAAGTTTGGCATCTTACTTACTAGCCAGTACTTACCGGGAACAGGGTAGCCACGTTTCTTACTCCATGACGTGATGTCAGAGCCACACACTCTAGGGCACGTGCTCTCAACAGCACGCTCCTTGGTGTCTTGGGTTATTTTTGTTCCTTTTTCATCTAGACCCCACACTTTAGTTAGCACAATTGCAATCTTTGCCCGCCCTGCCCTGTGCAGATGTGGGGGCACCCCCTCACCTCGCCCATGCCCTGCCTGGGGTGTGTGCAGCAGCAGCAGTTGCCCTAGCCACACCCCACCCCCCTGAGTGACAGCTCCACCCCGTCTGGGCAGCACCTGCCCCAGCCCCACTTCCTCCTTCACCGTGGGGGCCTTGATCTGCACCCCCATGCCCCTTCCCTCCCTCCTCCCCTTCCACTGCAACAAACTTATCAGCTGCAAGCAGCTCTTCAAGCTGCTGGGCTGTGCTCCTTGCCACCTACGTTGCACTGTGGCTGCACTCACGCACGGGCCATTTATCTGCCACATCAGGCCAATTGCTGATGCGCTCAATTTTTTTTATGTTGGTGCGGATCTGATACTGGACCGATGTATCAGTGCACCTCTGGTTGTTTTCCCTTTCAAAGTTGCAAGGCCCTTTGGGCATTAGGAGGCCATGGGGATGAATTTCTGCAATGCCCACGTTATAAACCAGTGTTTCTCAACCAGTGGTACACGTACCCTTGGGGGTACATGAGATATGTGGGTGCTGCGTTTTGGTGTCTACCTGCTCGGGCCAGAAGTTCTGGCCGTGCTGGTGGATAGGGAAGGAGGCCCTGCCCAGTTTGCTTTGCCCTAGGCCATGGTGGAAAAAGTGGGACTTGGCTTGCAGCGGTGACACAACGTGCCACGGTGGGACCTCCAGGTTCACTTGTCACGTCGACTAAGGTACCGAAGGTTGACAACGAGTGTTCTAGACCTCTGCGATTAAAGCTCCCATGTGACCAAAACACTTTAAATGCTGCTGAAGGGAGCGGCAGGGCTGGGATTCCTGTTGTACAGCAAAGCAGCTCCATTCTCATCCAAAAGCGCAGCCTTACAGTACGTGGTGCCACACCGCGCATTCAGGTGTTTCCCATGCTGCTCCCTTGCAGTGTGGGAGGGGGGTCTCTGAGCCTGGGAGATCAAAAAAAAAGCAGAAAGGCACCCAGAACTGCAGCCTGGCCTGCTGGGTCATACTCCGGCTGCCAGCCAGGCTCCTAGCTGCAGGAGCCCTGTGGCTGCAGTGTCCCTGGCCACCAGGCCCACAGGTAAGACTGCTGGGGCAGCAGCGTTGCTGGCTCGAGTCTCCCTGCGTCCCCGGGGCCAGGCATCAGGGGCACAAGGTGGACCACAGAGAACCGCTGTGGCCGCGCGGGAGCTAATCCGGGTTAGCTGCGCTGAGGGTCTGACCCACCGCTGCCTTTTTAGGGTCTTTTCTCTCCCCCCTGCGCTCGCATCCAGCACCGCGTCTGCCCCGGGGAACAGCCCCGCGGCGCCCTCTGCTCTCCCCGCAGCAGCCGGCGCTCCCTCTTCAGCAGGCGCGATCGCACTTGGCGCCGCTCGTCGACCCCGCCCCCTCCGCTGCGCCGGCCAATGGGAGCGCGCGGGCCCCGCCCACCAAGCGGAAAGCCCGGGGGGGGGGCGGGTCACAAGGCTTTTTATCCCTTCCTGACTCCCATCCTAGTTGCCCCGCGCCTGCGCCCTGCCTGCCATCATGCTGGCTTAAGGTCTTCCCGGCTGCCGTACTCCACGCTCCGCCACCTGAGACGGCTCCGCCCCCGCACCAGGAAGGCCGACTGCCGGGAGGGAAGCGGGCGCCATGATGCGTCGTAGCCGCCTCGGCCCGCGGCTGGGCCTTGCGTTGCTGCCGACCTTGTTGCTGCTGCCGCTGCTGCCCGGCGCCGCGCGCGGTGAGTGCGGCACGGGGCGTGGGGGCTCGCCCGGGTCACGGCGGCTCCCGGGAGCGTCGGGCCCTGCCCCGCTCTATCAACGTGACGGGCCGCGGCTACCGCGTTCGCCCCTAGAAGTGTCGGGGCCTGGCTCCTGCCCGGCGGGCG